TCCGCGCAGGGCGCACACACAGGGCACACACACAGTCCCCGCGCAGGGCACACACACACAGTCCCCAGGGCACGCACACACACACACACACACACACACACACAGTCTCCGCGCAGGGCGCACACACAGGGCACACACACAGTCCCCGCGCAGGGCACACACACACAGTCCCCAGGGCACGCACACACACACACCCCTTACCTCTGCGAAGTAGAGGTTGAGGAGGCAGAGGCCGGCGAAGAGCAGGCAGCCCGGCGAGCAGAAGAGCAGCCAGTGGGGGAACGGCTGGCGCTGCAGCGGGGCGGCCCGCAGGGAGTTCTGCAGGTAGCAGGAGAAGAGCACGGTGCGGAGCGCTGCCCACAGCAGGCAGAGGAAGAGGCCGAGCGGGCGGTAGCTCAGCCGCTTCTCCCCGTAGCAGAGGAGCAGCCAGAGCTGCAGGTAGGCGAAGAGGAAGAGGGAGGCGTACAGGGCGGTGTGCAGCACCGTCAGCCCCAGCTCCACGGGGTAGGGGATGGCGGGCATGGCCCCGGCGGGGGGGGCAGAGACGGTGCCGCTCATGGGGGGAAGGGAGCGGGCTGCAATGGGATAAAACGGGGGGGTAAAAACCAGGGGCGGGGAAAATCCCCCCCACCCCACTCACAACAACGGCTAAAAACCCATGCAACAAAAGAGAGCCCGCGCCTGCCCCCCTCTCTCTCCGCCCGCCCGCCCCGCTGCAGCGCTCCCTCGCTTCGAAAACAACTCTCGGCTGGAGACGATCAGCTGAGCCAGATTATTTGAGGCGCTCGCTCCGGACAGCAGACTTTTCTCATTGGCTCCCGCCGGGCCCGCCCGCGCCGTTTCCTTCTGCCCTTCCCGGTGGCTGCTGGGCCTGTCAGTCAGAGCCGGGCCGCCCACCGCGGTCACTCCGGGCTCGGCTTTGTTCTTGGGTTGCCGCCGCCGCCCGACTCGGTTTCCTACCTCCCTCTGGCCGCCTGTGTTGTTCTCCCGGCTCAGCGAGCGCCCGCCGTTCGCTCCGCCCTCCCGAGCCGCAGCCCCGCGCTGCCTGGGACTGGGATCAGCTGCGCAGAGAGGCCTGTGCGGGCGGGCGAGTGTGTGTGGGGGGGACAGGAGCGGCGCAGATCTGCGGGGAGGCAGCGGAGAGATCCCCATGGCGATAGCGGACCTCACAAATCCCCATTATTATAGGGCTAGCTGGTGACATCGCTATAGGGGTGGCTCCGTGATCCTCATTGCTAAAGGGGAGTTCAGAGATTCCCCACTGCTATAGGGGAGCTTAGAGAGCCTCATTGCTATAGGGGTAGCTCAGAGATCCCCACTGCTATAGGGGAGCTTAGAGAGCCTCATCGCTATAGGGGAGCTCAGAGATCCCCACTGCTATAGGGGTGGCTCAGAGATCCTCATTGCTATAGGTAATACCTAGATCTCCAGCATGGTAAGGTTTAGCTTGGCCTGGGTCTTTCAGCGCTAACTGTGGAGCAACACCCGTGTCCTCCTGCTATCAAGGGTGAGCCCTGTTACCTGCCCACCGGAGGCATCCAGTGCCACCACTCTTCATAAGAAAGGCCTAGGGACACACAGGAGAGGAGGTAACGAGGGGCTGATGTGATCCCATCCCACCAGTGCCAGAGGAGGGACGGATGGAGAACTTCACGCCACTGTCCTCGGGGCCAAAAATGGTGTCCGAAACACACGGTAGCGCCTGCCAGGTGAGTGAGGCCCCAAAGCCATCCTGGGGTGTGCTCCATTTGATCTATTCACAGTGCAGGGCTTTCCACAGACTCCAGCGGGAGGGTCCCTAAGGCCAGGCCGGACAAGCAGACAGAGGGCAGGAGGCAATGTGTAGACAAGCCAGCTTCAGTCCCTGACTAGGAGTAGAAATTGTTTCTGTCCAAAAACATGCATCAGGGAACAGGGGCTTTGCACTTGACTGTAACCAGATGAGACAACATTGGCTCCTGCAGCCTTTGCAACCCAAACCATGCTGCGGGGTGCTGACTTGAGAAGTGAGAACCTGAAAGTGAAAGTGAAACCCAAGTGAAAGTGTCCTGAGGGCTATTTCCTTTGTCCCAGCTGCCTGGGAGATGCAGACAGCACTGGCGGGGGAGGGGGAGAAGTAAATTAGATTTTAAACAATTCTAGTCATTTAAAGTGGGGTTGGTAACAGAGGAGAGGGGATAGGATACCCCCTAGAGATTCCCCTACACTAGGGTTACCATACGTCTGGATTTTCCCGGACATGTCCGGCTTTTTGGTCCTCAAATCCCCGTCTGGGAGGAAATTCCAAAAAGCCGGACATATCCGGGAAAATAGGGAGGGGTCGTGGGGCTTGGGTCCGGGCTGGAGCTGCTGGGGCCGGCGGTGCTCGGCCACCGGCTGGCGCCGCTCAGCCAGGGCCGGGGCCGGGCCAGAGTCACTCGGCCGGAATCGGGGCCCGAGCCGAGCTGGGCCGGAGCTCCAGAGCCCGAGCCGAGCTGGAGTCGCCGGGGCTAGGGCCGGAGCCGCCGGGGCTGGGGCGGGCTGGAGTCATTCGGCGGGCCAGAACTGGGGACTTTGGGGAAGGGGCGGAGTTGGGGCGGGGCTAGGGCGGAGTTGGGGCAGGGCCCCGTGGAGTGTCCTCCTTTTATTTTATTAAAATATGGTAACCCTACCCTACACAAAGGGACAAGTTCAGCTGGCTTAAGGGTTTATGTGCCCCCTGGAAATGATCAAAGCAGCTGGAGCGCTTGTATATCTTCTAATTCCCTGTGCGTGTAGTTTTGCTTTTCCATTGATTTAAAACCAGTAAGAGGTTAAACAAGAGACACAGAGATTCCTGGAAAGAGTCGATGTAGAACCCTAGTGTAAATGTCTAACAGTAATAATAATAATATTGTGTAACCCTTACAGAGTGTTGTATGGGCCTGATTCTCCAATGCCTTAGGTGTAAAGCACATCCATGCAAAGTGCCAGCCTTCTGATTGGGTAGCATTTCACACCCATTCCTGATCGAGTTGTAGACACGTAATCTCACAACACTCCCGTGAAGGAGACAAATGAGTATTCTCGTTTTACAGATGGGGAAACTGAGGCAGAGAACTGAAGGGACATGCAAAAGGCCATGCTGGGGGTCAGTGGCAGATCCAAGATTAAAACTTGGAGCTTCTTCCCTCTCACTCCATGCACTTTCCTCTAAACCCTGCGGTCTTGGGACACAACCAGTTAACTGGGTGATGCAAACAATACAGTGACATTGATATATTTGTATTTATATTCAACAAAGAAAAACAATTCGGCATCAGCTCTTGTTGAGTAACTGCATAATCTCACCAAGGCGGCTGATGTCTTTCCTCCGTTAACTCCTCCCTGTTGATGAGTCCCTCCTCCATCCTAGGAGGATGGGCAGCTCTTTGGGGCTTGGTTGTCTGATCTGAACTGGGAGGTGCCTAGCTCAGTGTTGGGAGCTCACTCAGAATGAGTGTGTGTATCCTGCCTACCATTCTGTTAGCAGACAATTTACTGTGACAGTGTTGTCTTATTACTCCCACTCCTTGAATGGGCAGCATGCAAGTTCAATTGCTGGCCAAAGCATCAATGATTTATTGCTTCAGATATAGTTTAGGTGAAGACAATATTACCTTCAGCTCCGTTTTGAGCATTGACTGCAGAGGGATTGCTTACCATGAGCAGGGGCTGAATATCTATAAAGGCTGTAGAATAATTACAGATGCCACAATGAAACTACACAGCCAATCCACTTACCAGAGTGCTTGCATTCCCTGTTTCAAAGCAGATGAAACATTAATAAACACTATGTACACTATGCATCCGAAGAAGTGGGCTGTAGTCCACGAAAGCTTATGCTCTAATAAATTTGTTAGTCTCTAAGGTGCCACAAGTACTCCTGTTCTTCTATGTACAAATAGTCTTCTTTAGCCAGAGCATTTTAAGAAATATACATTGCAACCAAAAACCAGCCAGTGAAGAGTGCGGAAGGCAGTATGTTCTAATGGGTAGAGCATTGGGCTAGACGTCAGAGACCTGGGTTCTAATCCTGACCGTGGGGAAATCATTTCACCTCTGTGTGTTCCTCTTCCCACCCTTTGTTTTGTAAGCTGTGTGGGGGCAGGGGCTGTTTTACTATGTACAGCGCCTTGTTCAGTGGGGCCCTCGTCTTAGTTCTATGGGGGTTCTACTGCAATACAAATAATAAAGTAACAAATCAGCAGGTTGCAGACAGCATATGCAGGCCAAGATTTTCCAGTGTGACTAGTGGTCACCGTTTTTGGGTGTCCAACTGAAGACACCTATGGGGCCTGATTTTCAGGGGTGTGTGTGTGTGTGTCTTAAGCTGGGCAGGTGGGGGGGGGGGAAAGTCAACCCGTCCCAAACCACTAATCGCTTTTGGAAATCTTGATCACAATCAATCACAGCCCAAGCTGGAGCTGGGACTGGAACCCGCTTTGTAAACATGGGTCGTTCCAGTCTGAACGAAAGGAAAATTGTAAATTGCATTTCAAGTGGAGACACAACTCATTAGCTCTTGCCAGCTCTTGTTTATATTTGGAATAAATACTATGGGCCAGATTCCACCCTTAGCTATACACGCACAAGCCCCACTGAAATCAACAATGTACGAGTGTTGGTATCAGAACATAAGAATGGCTACACTGGGTCAGACCAAAGGTCCATCTAGCCCAGTATCCTGTCTTCCGACAGTGGCCAATGCCAGGTGCCCCAGAGGGAATGAACAGAACAGGGAATCAAGTGATCCATCCCCTTTCGCTCATTCCCAGCTTCTGGCAAACAGAGGCTAGGGACACCATCCCTGCCCATCCTGGCTAATAGCCATTGATGGACCTATCCTCCATGAATTTATCTAGTTCTTTTTTGAACCTTGGCCTTCACAACATACTCTGGCAAGGAGTTCCACAGGTTGACTGTGCATTGTGTGAAAAAATACTTCCTTTTATTTGTTTTAAACCTGTTGCCTATTAATTTCATTTGGTGACCCCTAATTCTTGTATTATGAGAAGGACTAAATAACATTTCCTTATTTACTTTCTCCACACCAGTCTTGTTTTTATAGATCTCCATCATACCCCCCTTAGTCAGCTCTTTTCCAAGCTGAAAAGTCCCAGTCTTATTAATCTCTCCTCATTCGGCAGCTGTTCTATACCCCTAATCATTTTTGTTGCCCTTTTCTGAATCTTTTCCAATTCCCACCTATCTTTTTTGAGATGGGGCGACCACATCTGCACATAACCCCAAGGTCAAAACACAATATATAGTTGTGATAAATGAAGGGGGGGGGTATAGCTCCCTTTTATGGACACCCAGCCAGCAGCTATAAAATCCCTCTTAGTAGCTGTTCTCTAATTGCTCTACCTGTAAAGGGTTAAAAAGTCTCACTTCGATGTATAGGTAGAAGGAAGTGAGTGGGCACCTGGCCAAAAGAGCCAACTCTGTCCACATATCTATTCAAGTGACATCATCATAGGACCTAATCACATCAGCCATACCATCAGGGGCTCGTTCACCTGCACATCTACCAATGTGATATATGCCA